ATGATAAGTAGGCGAATGAGTTTCTTGAGATTTAAGACCTTTTGATAATCCGTACACGTTTACAACGAAATCGCCCTCTTTCGTCTAAGACTGTTATTTCTTTATCTAATTCTTTTTTAAATTACCTGATTTATAAACACATCTGTGGCCTCATGGATGGCAGTCCTTTCTTCTTTGAGTGTCTCCAGTTGTTGGTATATAAGATTTACAAATCTCGGATTGTGTTGTAACTTGCTGGCCATTTTAGAAGTCTTGAAATGTTTAATTTTCATTAGAAAAAGTGCAGATCCTAACTCACTACAGAAATCATTTGCTCACATACATTTATGTATAGACTCTATTCCTGTTTAGGTAATGTTGTTTTTCTTCTTCTATATCTTAAGGGCCCACGATCAATTTATTGATAATTTTGGCTCCTATGCATGTAGATGGTATTTGCAATGTTTCTGTTACTGGTGTTGATGAGGAAATCATGCACTAGGGGTTTGAAGGCTTGAGGCAATAGACACAAATGTGTCTAGTGTTGTCGCCTCAACTGTTCCTTTTGAAAGATTGTTCCAGTCCCTGATTGTCTTGGGCAGGAATGAGCAGCTCCTATACTGGCTTCTTGCTGATATGAGCCTGAATTGCCTGTCATGGCCTCGTCGCTGTCTATGGGGGAGAGGGACGAGTTTCTGTTTAATACTGGAACAGTGGACCAGCCCATTATTTATCTTGTACATCATGGAGAGCCTGGATTGTCGTCTAATACTGGAACAGTGGACCAGCCCATTATTTATCTTGTACATCATGGAGAGCCTGGATTGTCGTCGTCGTTTCTCCAATGGTGACCAGCCTAGTGTTTCTAGCATGCTGCCAACACTAGAGGTATTCTTGTAGCGGTTTAGGACAAAGCGTGCTGCTCGTCGCTGGACCGCCTCCAACCTGTCAATGCTCTTCTGGGTAAATGGGTCCCAGACTGAAGATGCATAATCTAAAATCGGACGGATAAAGGCTTTATATGCTCTTTCTTTCACACAGGAGTTGCCAATCTTTAGATTTCGCCTTAAGAACCCTAGGGTCTTGTTTGCTTGGTTATATACATTGTTAATATGCTCGTCCCAGCGGACCTCTCTTTGAATGGTAACACCCAGGTACTTTACGGAGGAAACTTGCTCAAGTATATGGCCGTGCAGTTCGTATTGGTAGTGTAGAGGAGTACAACTTCTAGAGATTGATAGTGTCTGGCACTTGGCAGGGGGAAATTCCATGTCCCAGCTCATCTCCCACTCAGCTAACAGATTAAGATATCTGTGTTTCTTTCATACAGTTCGTTTAGGGGACTTTCGGGTGAGAAGGGTAAAAATTAGCCATGACGATGAGTGATATGAACTAAATTCATTTCCGGTTGTGGCGCTCTTGAGGCTATGCTTGTAGCCCTAGCTAAGATTCTTCCGTAAAATATTTATAGTCACCAAAATATTTTTGATCAATTCAAAATGCAACATTGCATTTTAGCGGATACCTGGATTCAGGTTCGCATCGTTCTACGTTTAATCCGGGAGTAATGGCAGAGATGCTCGTTAAAACTTTAAGCGTCACTTGACTTCAGAGCCATTGTGTTGGCCCCTTCAACCCCTGCAACTCCTTTCACGTGAACGGGGTTTTAGCTACTTTAGGAGATTAAAGTTGTGACGTGGACACTTTTTTAATTGGTACCTTTGGATGTATGTTGGGGGAGGACAAACCCGAACATTTCAAGGGCCATCAAAAATTCAAGTGACGGCTCTGCTTGACCTGGTTGTTTTATATAAACTTTTTTTACTACCAAATAGTAAAGTGGTTTTTTTTTTTTATTTCTTTTAAAACTATTTTTGGAGTAAAATACTTAATTAATAAATGACTTTTCAAAAGAAAACAATACATCACTTCCACACACACACAAATGTCCATCACAAACAAAAACTACCCATCTCATTTTATTTGTTGAGCTCAAGTGAAGAAAAAAAAGAATGGTTACATGATGGCTGAATGGTGAATGATGAATGATGAATGATGTGTCTTATCCAAAACCTTGAGTGGATTTTAAACCCCGGGTATTTCCATTTGTTCTTATTATTCATTTTTAATTTCTTTATTTCCCATATCATATTGTTCTTTTAAGAAATTGAAAACCCGGCCCGGCTTATAAGGGGGTGGAGGAGGGGGTGAGTTGGGGATTGCAAGTGGCTGCTACCTCTTCCCTCTTCCACAGTGTAGACGCCCCAAGAGTCACCTGCAATACGTTGAACAAGGTTGATCGGTGCTGCGGGTGCCCATAAAAACCGTGGGTAGCTGGACAGAAATGTGGATAGATATATAATTATATATCATTTGGTTTGGATGGCACATGGCGTTAGTACTCTTACATTCACAAAGTTGAATCAGCAACTTGAGTGTAAGTTACATGCAACTGCAAGAGTCGCCTACGCCAACAAAGTCATTCATATGAATCTAATTTAATTTATGTTCATAATTTAGATTTAGAGTATAATTCGGTGTTTCATTTTAAGAGGACAAACCATTGACTTGTACTATTAGCTATTTAAAAAGATGCAAAAGTAGTAACTTTTTGAGCAATGAAGCAGCAAAATTAATTTCACAATAATGAAATAAAAAACCTAAAACACTCACATAGGTGGCGACAAATTTCACTCAAACAAGATGAAAAATGATGACATTATCTGTTTCAAATCGAGAATCCGTAATTGTTCAGTTGAAAAGCCAATAGGCCTACTAGAAAAACTAGTCGGGAAGGTCATTAAAAAAGATAGTATTCAAAAGAAATTGTTCGTCTTGGTGTAGTTAAAGATACATAGACCTTATACTATACTTATAGATTACAAAGAGTGTTTTTTTTGTTTGTTTCTTTAAAGTTGTCCCTTCATACCTGTTCAAGAAAATACGCCTGCTCATTGCAACCTGCACTCAGTTATTAAGGATTGTATCTATCTCTGTTTGCTGAAACATATGCGGACGATCAGTCATGCGTGAGGTGAAGAGGATAGCCTCAGCTTTAAAACTCCAGGCTTGAATGCAAAAAGGAACACCTTTCCTTTGAAACTCCTTGTATGGTGTGGTAGTTTTGGGGGTTATGGGCCATAAAGTAGGCATTGCCCACCACGCTTGAAATTTCACGGATGGTAATAGATTGACCAATTTGATTTTGCAATTAATTCTTTTGCGGTTCGTTAACAAAAAGTCCGAAATGAACCAATGGGCGGTTCTTTCTAGGGGCTGGAGTTTGTGTTCTATGTGTTGATGTCTGTGTTCTATGTGTTAATGCCTGTGTTCTATGTGTTAATGCCTGTGTTCTATATATTAATATCTGTGTTCTATGTGTTGATGTCTTTGTTTTGTGTGTTGATGTCAGAGTTCAATATGTTGATGTCTGTGTTAATGTCTGTGTTCAATGTGTTGATGTATGTGTTCTATGTGTTGGTGTCTGTGTTCTCTCAATGAGTTTGAAATGTGTGCTCTGTCTAGGATTTGATATTTATGCTCTGTCTAGGGTTTGAAGTTTGTGCTCTGTCTAGGGTTTGATGTTTGTGTTCTGTCTAGGGGTTGACGTGTGTGCTCTGTCGGGGGGGGGGGGGGTCAAGTTTGTGCTCTGTCTAGGGGTTGAAGTTTGTGCTCTGTCTAGGGGTTGAAGTTTGCGCTCTGTCTAGGGTTTAATGTTTGTGCTCTGTCTATGGTTTGATGTTTGTGCTCCGTCTAGGCTGTTAAAGTTTGTGCTCTATCTAGAAGTTCATAGACTGCTCTCTCTAAACTTTAAAGTGCGTGTTCTGTCCAGGGGGTTCATTGATAGTTCTGTTAATGGGTTAAAATGTGTTGATACATGTCGTCTATCTTGGAAAGATCGTGAGCTCTCACTCTTTAAGCCCAAGTCGCCCCCCCCCTCCCCCAACTAATATGAATTGAAAACCAGCTCATTCTGCCGGGTTGTATAATGCAACATTTTATTCACATATCACTCTCCTACCCCCAGACCGTCTTCTGAACTCCCCAAGTTCAATTTTGGTCCACGAATTCTACAGGTGCGCAACCATCTCTGCCAATGTGCAATGCAACGGTTGTCTAATGTAAACAGGACTAAAAGCTTTCCTGGGCATTTGGTGGTGGGATAAATTTGTCTTATTGAATTGTAACAGCCGTTTATCAACATGTCGGCCTTTTTCTTGTAACTTCACGGCGACCCACATTAAGTCGACTCTCCCATCTCTCAAACAACACTACCTCTTCATACACTCTCTCAGCCCCGGCTTCTTCTACATACACACTAGCCACCTCTATTACCTCTACATGCACACTCACACTACCTCTGCATACCCACCCCTATTCTTAACAACCTCTACGTACACACCCAGACTCTCCACACTACCTTTACATATACACCCAGATGCTTCACACTACCTTTAAATAGACATCCACACATTCTCCACACTACCTTTACATAGACACACACACCATCTCCACACTATCTTTAAATACACATCCACACACTCTCCACACTGTCTTTACATAGACACCCACACTCTCCACACTAACTGCATACGCACCCACACTCTCTACACTATCTCTTTATACGCACCCACACTCTCCACACTAACTGCATACGCACCCACACTCTCTACACTAACTCTGCATACGAACCCACACTCTCCACACTAACTCTGCATACGCACCCACACTCTCCACACTGCCTTTACATACACCCACACTCTCCACCTCCACAATTTTGACCCAGGTTTTGTGATTTAGTATTTAGTCAGTAGTAGTAAACAAAAAGTTTTAAACAAAAAGCTAACATAAAAGCAAATGACTAAGATACGATTGTCAATTTCCTTGATGTATTTAGTTAGCCCTGGTGACACGGGTATTCATAATATTTTAATCAGGCCAATTACTTTGTAGATAACAATCTTGATAAATGATCTCACCCATTAATCATACAACAGGAAAAATTAACCAATACATAAACGCTTCCTTTCTCATCATATGTCTGTGATTGTAAATATATGACATCTCCTGACATCATCTCAGCACACCGTGTTATAGACTGGTTATCATTTACGCGGCCTAGATATATGGGATCAGCATCGTCATTTGATTTTTTTTTTCGTTTTGTGAAAACATGCTATAAAGAAGGGTTCATCTTTTTCACATCTTGTACTAATGTTTATCAAATATAAGCCATTCAGTGGAGCTGTGAGCGTCACAGACAATGGATCAAAGTGATCTCCGCTGTTTGCTTTCATTTTCACACTATGAATTTTTTTTAAATCCACACAGCCTGCTGCGAGATTAAATGTGCTCCAGGCAGAGAATCCTACATTTGGTCGACAGCATTTCATTTCTGTAAAGGATGTAAAAGTCACAGAGTATAATAATAATAATAATGAAGTAAATTAGATAAATCTAAAGCTGTGGTGCTGTGAGGTTGAAATAAACAAAAGGTGGGCACTTATGGCACACACAAAAGCGAAATCTTGTAAAGTGCTCTTCAAGCAGAATGTTTTAATCACACAAAAATATTTGAAAAGTTGCAATAAATTTAGCTGCTATGTCAAATTTTAACTTTCAGTTTGTTTCTTTCAATTAAATTTGGTAAAACATTTCTTATTTCTTTCACTCAATTACACGTTTTATTTATATCTGTCATGTTTAGAGAAGATTTTTCAATCCCATTGATATCATTTGAAACTTAGAATTGCCTTATTTAAAATAGATCAGTAAATTGTTAAGAAGAAAAAAGTCAGGCAGCTTTATTTTTTTAAATTAATTATCCCCTTGGAGTCATCAAAAGATGCAATAATCAAAGTTTAGGTCAAAATATTGAGAGGATGTTATTTTTTTAAGAATTAAGCACCAAAAAGAACTACAACCATGGCATTTAAAGATTTTGTTTTGTACTGACTATCATTATCATTTTTAAGGCTTTTAAGAGCTAACATGTGAAAATACTTAGACAACAGTCAATTGCCGATTTGGTTAATTAAAACATTAAGATAATCAATTTTTGATGCTGCTATAAAAACACATATGTGTGGTTAAAAGACAGATTATAGGTTGAAATATTTTTATATTAGGTTCATAATAATTTTTTACACGAAATTTTTTTTAAATGTTTTACTTATACTTAAATTTTTTCCACAATAAAAATGTTTCAAGAATAAAAAAAGAGTGTTATTTCTACTATTTATAAAATTAAGGCCTTATTTATTTCAATAGACATAATATTTTATGCTTGAACAATTGCCTGGAGCATGAGTAAAACTATTTTAACATTGATATGCTTTTCAACTTTCTAGGATAATGGAAAGAAGGTTCAAAATAGAATTTTTAAAACATACTGGTAAACAAAATAATCAGGAATTTATTTTGCTGTAAAGATTCAAAGACTAAAAAATCAAATACCTTATTATTTATCTATATTAATTATTTGAGTTACTCACCCATTTGTGTAACCTTGTTGGATATTTCAGCTACTTGATTCTCAATAGTGTCTACCTGTACATGATGCAGGTTAACAATAAAAAAATTGTAAAAATAAATCCTTTCTAGAAAACAATATACATGCCAACCTGCAGAATTAAACTTAAAGCCCCGTAAAGAAAATTATTTTTTTTTAAATTCTATACAAAAACATAAAAACCTGTGCATTTTATCAATGTGTTTAATCTGCTGGAGCATATTTATTTTTCATTTCTAGTTTTATTTTTTGCATCAATTGGATTTTTTTAGTAAACTTGTTTGGTGTTTTGCTTCACCTCCGTTCAGGTTTACCCCAAACCTTGTATCATTTATGTCCTAAAAATCTATGTAAAAAGTATAACAGGAAAAACAAGTTGCTGGCCAGAGAATTTGTGAAATAAAAGCTACTTGATTATCTTTATTTTTAAAAAAACAACATCTACAGCATGTAGGCCTACCTTTGATAGTTCCTTGTTGTTCATGCTGACCTTCCTGTTGATAGTATCATTAAATTTTTCCAGTGGAGCCAGTCTGTTTGCTAGCACTTGGCAAATCATACCAAACTGTAAATTGGAGAAAAAAAATTTTAATGTTCTCCACATTTTAATACAATTTTAGTTTGCAAGCAATAATCATAAAATTCAAAAGCAATATAAATTTCACAGGAAATTTAAAATAATATATTTTTGTAGGTAGTTTTTAACTTCTAAAAAAGGTAACAGGCTTCTAAGAATTCAGTTTTATAATCAAAAATGAAAATCAATATGTAGTCCTCAGATTTGAACATAGTTTTTTTCTTAAGGCGTGCCACTGGTCCCTATTTTAGACCTAATTTTAAAATCACTGACACAATTTTTGACACTTCTGCACAATGGTTAAGTGTGTTCTCTTTTGACCTGGCAATTGAGGGCTGTAGATGGTATGACATTGACATAGTGAAATTTCCAACAACTCCTGCGACATAGACCACATAAAAAGCACAGTGAGACATAAGAAACAGTGCTGGTCATTCACTTCATTTTGGTCGTATTCCAGTTATTTTGACTACGTAATGCCATTGGAACAGGAGGAGAGAGTAAAGCTGACGAATTATGCAAATCTCCTTTACTTTCAACAAAAATAACGCTCAAGTGAAGGCTGCTAGTGAAGTCAAAGAATGCAAAGGATGAACAATAAAAAAAATATTAATACTTGTATTAAACTGTAAGAATAACGTAACCATTTAAAAACAGCCCAAAAACAAAATTTGATTAACATATAGTACAAGTTTCACAAAGTCATCCCACATTTTTTTGCCATCCTGTATATAGATACAAAACCATTTACCAACCTGCTGTTTAAATACTTCTGTGCTAGACATACATGTCCTCTCTAACTGCTCGGTGTACTGAGATGGCATGAGATCAATAGAGGATTCAAGGTCATGCATTTTTTTTAAAAACATCTTGGTAATGTGTTTCTGAACGTTCAATCTCAATTGGATAAATCAACTACAGCTGTGGCAGTATCCTTGCCATTTGTTCTAACAGTGTCAACTTCAGAATATATTGCATCCAAAGAATCACTTAATAAATGAATTTCCTTTTCTAACTGATTGAATCTTGGAATAGTTTTATTTACATTTATATCTAAATTTTCAAGAAGTGTTGAAGTTTCATGGGATATTTTATCACATTCTTTAATTCTTTCATTTATGTTTTCAATAGTTTTTAAATTCTCTTCACTGACAAGAGCAATATTTTTGTTTACATTATCTCGTTGAATTGAGACATCTTCTATTAATTTATCAGTCTTTTCATGTTTTTCTTGAAATTGTTCAATCATCCTTTAGAGTGAGAACACATCATCTTCCAGTATTTCATATCTCATCCTCATTTTATAAGGCACATTACTTCCCTTCCAGTCACCTTAAAATAATCAAAATAAAGTGCATGCTTGTACTTCAATGATTTGGACCAAGCTGAAAAACACAGACAATAATTAGACAGAATTATAATTTGGTTTTAATCCTGGCAGTGATATCTATATATATATATATTCATATTTTAAATTAATTTAAAATATTATTTTATTTTTATTATTATTCATTAATAGAATGAAAATTTACATTTCTGCATATAAAAGTTTCAAAGAAAATAAAGGTTTACAAAGCAGATTTTTATGTTAATTTTTATGCTGCATTTCAACATAATAAACAAATGTACAGCTATACCTGTTTCAACACCTTTAGCCGGTATAGTTTCCCTGTCTTTGCTTGACATAGGTTGAAAGAATTCTTTGGGAACTGTTTCCCTTTCTTCATTTTGTGAAGCTTTTAGACCAATAAATAATTCATTTAAAAATTAATTTAGATACTGTTGTTTTTTTTAAAAATATAATTAGGGAAATAATCATCAAAACATATGTTAGTTTTGGGGAATAATTTGGAAAAAAATGTTTTTGTAGAAAGAGTAAAAGTAAAGCAGGTTTCTCTTTCTTCGAATCTTTCAAATGTAAACATTTATCATTTCAATGAACAATTTTTATTTAAACTGTTATTTCCATTTTGATACCAAATATACAATTTAATGTTATTTTTATAAAATAACATGATTTCCTTAAACTCAAAGTCATGATATTTGTGTTGTTTTTTTTAATTATTAATTAGAGAGCTGGAATCCTAACTTTGATTAGTTTAAAATCCATCATATATTATTTGAGCATTTTGTGCATTACATACAATTTACCTAAAAATTCAAGAGACTATAAAATGTTATAGCCTGTTGAATGTAATTGAAAATCTTCTCAAATTTGGGCTGATTTATTTTTGCCTCAGTCACCCAAGTGTCAACTTCATGTTGTGCCTAAAAAATAATCCCAATATTGAAAAGTAACATTTAAAAAAAAACAATACATTCATCTTAATTAGTAAATTACCAAGATTTTAAAAATTGTATTTTCTTAGTTTAAAGCAAAATATATGCCTATGTATTTAATTTTCAGCTTCAATTATTTGATAATATTTTCTAATATTTCTGTTGATTTGTATATAAAATTCATAAATTAATTTAAAATTTCATACGAAGAAATAAACTTTTACTTGCAAAATAGTTTCAGCCTATCATTGCAAGTTAATGGCTAAAAAATAACAATTTACTTACACCGCAAAAATCTGCTGTTTGAGAAATTTGCACAAAAGATAACAATGTTCAAGTTTCCCACATAATACTATTTATCTTCCCACTTTGTATTTTTTGTATTATTGATATCATTTTGTTGTTTTTTTAAGGTTTTTGTTTTATTTGACATCAAAAATACCATTTGATACCCAATATTTTGAAAATAAAACATTTCTAACATAATAAAAAATTAATTTATGTGGCAGATTTATTTGTGAATGTCAATTTATTTATTTTTGCAATATTTTTTGGAATTCATTTAATTTAAAAATAATTGTATCCCTTTATTAGATTTATTAATCAAAATTCAGTTATTTAATTTTTAAAGAAATGTAGCTTATTTTCAATTTCAAGAGGAAACACAATTCAACACTAATTAAATACCTTCTCAACACACTGATCTACAACAGATTTAAGATTATGGCTCTCTTCTTTAAGAATTTCCAGTTGTTGACTAAGAACCTTCGTGAGTCTTTCAACTTGCTGGGATTTGCTTACTACTGTGGACATTTTCACCTGTCAAATCCAATGAAGCTCCAATAATTCCTAAATTTATGTGCAAAATACGATTAGTAACAATAATTAAATAAACTCCAATGAAGTTCCAATAATTCCTAAATTAATATGCAAAATACGATTAGTAACAATAATTAAATACATGACTTCTTCTTTTTTAATATATGTCTAATATATTATATTATATATTTATGACCTGACTTGAGTTATACTGTTATACCAATAATAGTAATAGTACTGCTTAGTTAGGAATAGCAAGACAGGTAAACCGTAATACTCCAGTATAGTTATAGTATAGAAGCCTAATAAAAATATTGGTAAATGCAAACAATTGTGCCATGGCGTATCAAACGGCCGCCTTCTTGATTGCCACAACCCATGAACTTTTAAAATTCACTGTCACCAAACCTAACTACTAACTATGAACCCTAAAATAAAAATACTAAATGATCATGTATCCCTAAACTTAAACCTAAAAGTAAAAGCCTTACCTGAACCCTAAATGTGTCCCTAATGATTAATGCCATCAATTATCTGCATTAGGCTCATTAGTAAAATATTTTTTGAATGAATTATTTATAAATTATACCATGTCTGCGAATGGCAATAGGAAGGTTGGTTCACTAATCATTAAATTAAGTTTGGCTAGGACATAACTACATTTATTTGCCGCGCCAGTATCACACTTTACTTACATTTCAACTAACTATCTTTCGATTTATTCTACAGAAACAACTCACGAATAAATAAAATGAGTGAAGTTATTCACATAAACTCAAAGTGGCATGTAATATAGCCTATTTGATGGATTGTGTAAATGAACAAATTATTGCAATACAATTTACAATATCATTATCTATTTTTTTTAAAATGACTTCTTTGATTTATGTTCTGAGTGCTGAATAGCAAATGCCTATACTATGCCTTTACTATGGACAGTAGCAAGTAAAGTAAGTATGGGTTACTTTACATGGAAAAGTTATCGGACCTTATATCGGGATTTTCCGATTTCTTGATTTCCTTTGGCATTGGAGATTGAAATCAAAATAGTTTGGCTTATAAATTGATGACTTTTTCAGTTTAAGTTTAAACATCAATTTGATAAATTGATTGTTCAAATATGTAAATACAAATTAATTATTTTATAGCCTTCTTTCACAACTAATTGCATTAAAATTAATATTTAAAATAATAAAACAGTGCGGTCGTTAATCTTGAAAATAAAAATAATAGTGTATTTTATGTTATTTTTTTACAATTTTTATTCATTTAATTTTTTTTTTTTTTGGGGGNGGGGGGGGGGGGGAGTTAGAAACGACAACTTCGCAAAATTGTACAAGATTTACAAGTAAAATTTAGTTTGGCCTATAAATTACAGCTGATGAAATGTAATTAATTAAATTAGACTAATGCCTTCATTTGCATCGTAGTTTGATGAAATAAATTTTAGAAAACGAATTTTCGTAATGCTGACAGTGACACTGAATCTATATTTCTCATGTCATGCTTTTGGTGAATGTTTTAAAATAAAGGCGATAATCTTATCCGTGTCATTTCTGAGTAGCTTAGTCAATATCTGGTTGTAATTTGTCCTTTCACTTCATTCGCCCTTGTTGCTCTTCTGTCTCTTGATTTCATCCCTTAACAATATTTTTTTTTTCATTATCCTTCATCGTTAGACTCGCTTTTACAGGTGAACATGTCAGAAGCATTGAGTAAACCCGATGATTGGGGTCCATTACATTAGATCACGTTAAAACTTTTGTTGAAATAACTCTATCATTTACATTTTAGTGATGTGACTTTTTAAAGTAAAAATAAGGCTGCGACTATT